ACTTGGAGCCTGACAACGTTGGTGTTGTGGTGTTTGGTAATGACAAGCTGATCAAGGAGGGTGATATTGTGAAGAGAACCGGAGCCATCGTGGACGTGCCTGTCGGAGAGGAGCTGCTGGGCCGTGTTGTTGATGCTCTGGGAAATGCTATTGATGGCAAGGTCTGCCTACCGTAAACTCTGTCTACTGTTCATTTCCAGTTTCCCTAATCAGTCACATCCAATTGTGTTTAATTGTAGGAGATCCTTTTTAGGATGTTTGTTTCCAAAGGTGCTTTGAATTAGCAATCTGAGGTTTTTCTTTCATCTTAGTAACTTCTTTTTTCCCCCTCTCTTACCCTAGGGTCCTCTGGGTTCTAAGCAGAGAAGGCGTGTTGGGCTGAAGGCTCCTGGCATCATCCCCCGTATCTCTGTGAGGGAGCCCATGCAGACAGGCATCAAGGCCGTAGACAGCCTGGTGCCCATTGGTCGTGGACAGCGAGAGCTGATCATTGGAGACCGACAGACTGGGTATGGGATTAGGGAATAGGGGTACTGGGTGGGGCCAGACAATCTAACTGATCCCACCATGATTTACATGCCCTATATACACTTATCAGCAGGGCTGATTTACAAAGGACAGTTCAGGCATTTAAATGCGGCCTGAGTTCTTAACATTTCAGGTAAAACCTCCATAATTTTAAAACTTTGCTCACTATTTCATGTTTTTGGTTTTCAGCAAAACCGCCATTGCCATCGACACAATCATTAACCAGAAGCGTTTCAACGATGGCACCGATGAGAAAAAGAAGCTGTATTGTATCTATGTGGCCATCGGGCAGAAACGATCCACTGTGGCCCAGCTGGTCAAGAGGCTGACTGATGCAGATGCCATGAAGTACACCATTGTGGTGTCTGCCACAGCCTCAGATGCTGCTCCCCTGCAGTACCTGGCCCCCTACTCTGGCTGCTCCATGGGAGAGTACTTCAGAGACAACGGCAAGCACGCCCTGATCATCTACGATGATCTGTCCAAACAGGTGAGGGCTGGCTGGACAACAGTGGTTGTGGGCAGGGAATCACTGTAAAAGCCTGAATGAAACATTACAAGTTGTGTCCATTATTTTTATTATTGTCTAAGATTGGGCTAAACTTTGAAAGGACCAAGTTACACTCTGAATCTTGGGGGTTATAATCTTATCCTTGTCACTGTAATGCTTTGTTTTCCAGTTGAAGTTGATGTAATTTATTGTATTACTATGCAAGATGGTTAAAGCAGTTAATTCCTTTACTCACTCATCCATGTAAGGCTGTCCCTGGTCTTTGGTCAGCTTGTTTTAGGACTCCTTTTTGGAAAGGATATTATGAATGTTTAGGACTTGTAATGGAGAATCCGTAATGCTTTAACTAACCTTTCGTTAAATAAACAATGCTTAACTTCTCTACTGTTCTTAATGGATTTTGGAATAACAATCTTAGTACTCTGGCTGAATGTGAAATGGCATGTAATCAGTTTCATACCCCTGCTGTTCCTGTTTGGTGTAGGCTGTGGCCTATCGTCAGATGTCCCTGCTGCTGCGCCGTCCTCCTGGTCGTGAGGCCTACCCAGGTGATGTGTTCTACCTGCACTCCCGTCTGCTGGAGAGAGCTGCCAAGATGAACGACAACTTCGGTGGTGGTTCCCTCACAGCCCTGCCCGTGATCGAGACCCAGGCCGGAGACGTATCTGCTTACATTCCCACCAACGTCATCTCCATCACTGATGGACAGGTGAGTGGGACGTGGTATCTTAGCACTGCGTATACTGCAAGGCTTTGCGTGTTGTCTTCTCTTAAATTCTATCCAAGTGCATGAAACAAGGTACTTGCTGTGTACCTGAAAATCTCACTATGTATAATGGAGCGTATACATGTGAAATTTGTTTACTAATTCTGCCTTCCTGTGTTCACAGATCTTCTTGGAGACTGAGTTGTTCTACAAGGGTATCCGCCCTGCCATTAATGTGGGTCTGTCTGTGTCCCGTGTGGGCTCTGCTGCTCAGACTAGGGCCATGAAGCAGGTGAGTTCGTTATGGAATAGATGAAACTAGATTCAGTTCTGCACCCAAACACTGGTTAAACAAGCTAAGCAGGGCTTGTGACTATTGTCCATAACTGATGTTTTCATAATGGTGGAATCCATTTGACTTTGTCAGAAGAACGCTTATGCATTTCAGTACAGCACTGAGTTTAATGTGTGTCTCAGGTTGCCGGTACGATGAAGCTGGAGCTGGCCCAGTACCGTGAGGTTGCTGCTTTTGCGCAGTTCGGCTCTGATCTGGATGCCGCCACCCAGCAACTGCTGAACAGGGGCGTGCGGCTCACAGAGCTGCTGAAACAGGGTCAATATGGTGAGTATCACAGCACCTCCTACTGGTGTACTAGTGTTCTCCAGCTTCTTGTTTTGTAGAGTGGTTTTTGTGCACCAAAATGCATGATGGAGCTTTTTAAGGGTTGTTAGTCTTGATAAGCTGAAGTGCTGTATTACAGTGCCTGTCAAGGACTATTTGATTAACCCTTCCCAGCCCCACATATTTAATTTATTCCAAGTGTGACTTCTACACTTACAGCTAATCCTTCAAAAGCTCATTAGTTAAATGTAGATGTTATGTAGGATGTGGAATCCAACAGTTTTGTGGGCACTGCAGCTCTTGGTAAACCGTGTAGAGTTCAGTGTCATTACCTCATTGATTTGAGAAACTTTTTTCCAGCTCCCATGGCAATTGAGGAGCAGGTGGCAGTTATCTATGCTGGTGTGAGGGGCCACTTAGACAAAATGGAGCCCAGCAAGATCACAAAGTTTGAGAAAGCCTTCCTGCAACATGTTCGCAGCCAGCACCAAGAACTGCTTGCAACCATTAGGTAACTTTTTTGATTTTCACACCCATCTTCTAGGGACCTATCGATCATTCTTGAATGTTTAAAAAGGAACTGGAACTGGACTCATCAGTTGGCAAAGCCTCAAGGATAAATTCCAGTTCACAACCTTTTCATGTTGCATTCTTTAGAAGAGTATCAAAGATCAAAATTAAGCTTGCACTTCTGGAGCCCTTTTTGTCCCTTCTAACTAGCTTGTTTCCTGTTTCAGGGCTGATGGCAAGATCTCTGATGCATCAGATGCCAAGCTTAAGGAAACTGTGCTGACCTTCTTGTCAAGCTTCGAGTAATGTTTCCCCCTTTTCGCTCATGTTTTGTCCATGTTTGCTTACAGCGCTCTGGTTAAGTTTATACGAACGTCAAAATTCAAGTGGCACTTGATCCTCAATGTACAGAAGTCTCCTAACAGAGAATAAAGTGTTCTACTCCATTTGCTGACTTGTGTGTTTGTGTCTACCAACATGGATTTGTTTTTCCCCTGCTACTTTGGGCATGGCAAGGGAAAAGAAGGAAATGAGGGCCTCTCCACGTTGGAATAAAGCCTTGTCCTTGAATCAGAAAGGTGACGAGTTCATGATCAGCAGCAGAATGCTGCAAATTAAGACGTATCCCAAATAGAATACAAAGCATAATATACGTTTAGTGGCCTGGTTTTGTCCTTATTCTGGAGCCCAGTCCAACATTAGGATATATCTGAAAAGTGATGCTGCAGGTTTTCCATCCCCACAAAGTAAGGGCACACAAAACCGTTGAAGACTGATGCTAACTTATTAGAGAAGTGGCATTGGGTGTATTCAAGATTGTTTGGATTGAAACCCTGCAGCCACACTGGATTAAACTGAACACCCCTTTAGTAGGACCTCAGTAAATTACTTAAATTAACTAATGACAAACACGCATAAATGTAGTTTCAAAAACAAGCTGACAACCCCACATTATACACCTCATATACCACACCTGATTCAATTCTAGCTAATTGGCATGCCCCTTGTTTGCTGACTCAGGTGTGGGATGAGATCTGCAGTTCTGTGGGAAACTCAGAACTTTAGTGGAACTAAAGTATATTCTGCATGGTAACTGTTCATTTGCTCTCATTCTCTTTATTGATCATTTTAGCCCTAAAAGTAAACCTTCACATAAAATGCTATTCACTTAAAGTCAAAAGTGGCCATTTTTAACCTTTATTTCTTGTCCCTCTTCATTTAACATGGTTCAAAATACTATAATACTTAAGACAGAATTCTTGTTTTTCTGCAATCTTTTATCAAAGTGTAGTGACTCTTGGCTGCCTTGAATACATTCTCCAAGGCTTTCTTACTTTACAGTGCACCAGTTTGGGCAGGGGATGAAATACATTTTACTTATTCCTCCCACCACCTTTAACTGTACTAAAAACCCTATCACAACAGGAAAACATGTTGAATTTTCCAATTAATGTTAAGACAAATGTAATCAAGCACATTAGGTTCACAACCAGTAGTAGTGAAGGTCCAGTGTTCTGTTTTCATGACCGTGGCCCTTAGATAAATTAACATTTAGATGTGCAAGTAACAAAGAACCAAAACAAATAATGGGTGCCACATAGTGGAGAGATCAAAAAATGTCATTCCAGCCCCAAGTTTGTTAATCATGTATTAAAAGAAGTTACATTTTCCAGTTTCTCTCTTAACCTCTATCATAGCAGTCCTGTCTGCTAGATTTCCCTCTTGGGAAAACTCCTCATGAAACCACTTGACTTGGATATGTTCTTTCTGGCATTTTTTTTAATTACATTTTATTTTGGACCATTAGTTGAGCTGAAGAAGTTAAAATTGTATTTCATTTAAAATGTATTTTACAGTCATTATGAATGTGTCAATTCAATGGAACAACAACTTAGTACATTTACAAGTGATTTTACCAGACAACTACAGTAGCTCAAGCTGAGAATCACAAACAAAAACACAAAAAAGTACAAAGTGAGTGCATTCAGTGGTGTGTGGAGAAGTGCATATTAAAGCATTTGACTTAAAACGTGAATAACGAGTGATTCTCTCAAACCCACGGCAATGAACTCGAGCACGGGCTAAATCTACTGTAGAGCAGGAACGTGAACTGTGCCCGTGAACGTGACTTCAAAGGTGTGAACTGTGATGAGTGTGCGTCATGAAGGAGATAAAACTTCGAGGCGGGTGTTTGAAGACTGAAGAATTCTAGACCGGATTAGAGTTTTCATCCAAGCGTTCCCGAATCCTTAAATGGCCTTGAGTTCCAGACTGCTGTGAACAGCGTGCGTCTCAGACCCAGTACTGTTTGATTGTGATAGGGGGTGCATGGTGTCTGTGTTTGGGTACGTGGTTCTGCGTGACGTAACTTGGGTCGTAATAATCCCACTCAAGGCCGGACGCCCAGGTCGCCCCCGGGAAACCGTCGCTGTCCGCCGACAGGATCCGCAAAGACACACCTGAATGGTTATTCGTGAATATTTACACACTGTGCACGGTAGCTGAAACTCACACACAATTCATCATGAACACAAGATAATCAAATTTAGGGTTTTTCATTTCCTCACTCCAAATGTTTGGTGTCTTTGTTCTGTACTGCACCTATAAGACTAACGTAGCTAACAAGTAATGGAAGCTTATACCCATCAATTAGCATAGTGCAAACCACATACCTTAAAGCGTGCTGAGCTGTTAGGCGAGACTATTTACGCTTACTTATGTCGATTCTGACACAGACATACTGCTGTTTCCTACACTTAAAAAAGAAGGTTCTTCAAGTGTTCTTTAGTAAAGAAAAAGGTTCTATATAGAACCATGAACACTCAAAAAAATCAACTGCACACTGAAAGGATTCTTTGCATCGTAAAAAGGGGTTCCTCAGATTGATGGAGAACGTGCTATAGATGGTTGTATATAGCACAGAAAAGGGTTCTTCTATTGTTACAAGCATCGGAACAGTAGAAGAACCCTTTTTTGGTGCTGTATAGTCCATCAATCTGAGGAACTTTTCATGATGCAAAGAGCCTTTTCAGCATGCAAATGGACAGTGTTCATGGATCTATATAGAACCATTTTCTTTACTAAAGAACCCTTGAAGAACCATCTTTTTAAGAGTGACATGAAAAACTGCTCCAATTCTATTACTCATCTGCATTAGCTTTGTATTTCCAGCACAAAACTACAGAAGCAAATTTCAGACACCAAACATGCCTTAAGTACATGAGAAAACAGCAAAACTGTGTGAATGTGACGGTAAGGTACTTTAAAGGAGGACTACACCCATGTTTTAAAAGTTCTGCACAACAGTGACTGAGAAACAGAGTCATTCAGAGTGGTTTAATGTGAAGTGGTTCACTGTAAAGAAAGTTACAGACTCAGATCTCTTTTTTTCAGTGGTGGTGATAGGAACCAGGGGTCACCATGACTACAAATACAGCCATTTTATTCACTATCCAAAACCAGCAATGCACCACTTCTGAGTTGTAATACTGGCGATAGCAAAACGGTAGTAAGTCTGAAAATAAATAAATAAATAAATCTTTGGGGGCTGTGTTACCTTACAATGCCCTGCATGTACCTCTCAGCCATTTAGACCTAAACTTTATCTTAAAACTATTGTAAAAGAATGTCTCTGGCATCAGGCAGTGTATTCATAACCATTTAGTGTAATAACTTAGTGATGGAGCTTTCAGAGGCATTAAACACTTCAGACGTCTGGTTCCTATCATCACCACTGTGAACAATTTTGATTTTGGTGAGTCTCTCCAAAACAGATAAACACATCAAGCCACACTGAATGAGTTTGTTTACATCTTAAGAATGCAAATATTTTTGAAAATTTGGAATTCCCCTTTAAGCTCTATCTGATATGCCAAAATATCTAAACACTTACCTTTCCATCGGCCAGCAGCTATGTTGTAACTGAATCATGTCTATCTAAGAATGTAATAGACCTAAAACGTATACTTACTCTCATCTTCCAAAACAACCTACCACAATCAGAGCTGCAGAGATATTTTAAACTCACCTGCACTGGCGCCGAAGTCACTGTCGAGCCCAGGTCCGGCAGCTGAAGAACTTGTGGAAGCTACAAAGCATGAGGCCTCCTGAGGAATGCTGCTGATGATCTCACCCTCCACGTGGACCTTATCCAGAGATATGAGCTCCAACTCCATCGTGCTACTCCGGCGCATCATCCTTACAGGTACCGAAACCCTCTGCTCACAGACAAATGACAGAGAACCACACTGCGGATCAGGACTGGGCGCTAAGATTTGGCTAAGATACACATTAATGTGATTCCTTTAAGGTGTCCAGAGTCTGTATCCACAACCCAACTCAGGAGGGCCACATCTGATCTGTTTAGAACTACACTCTTGGCCCAAAGGGTTCTCAGAGTGATGCTGTGGAAAAACCATTTTAGCTCCCTAAAAACCATGTATATAAATTACAAAGAACCTATTAAAAGGTATAAACAATGTGTAGGGTGCTTTACCAATGTAAAGGTTCTTCTTCCAATAAGTGCAGGTTCTTAAAACTTCTTTATACTCACAATGCCATCCAGTGAAATGTTCTTTAAGGAACAAAAATGATTCTTTCATGCCGTCACAGAAAGAACCCTTTCTAGAATAGTGGTTAATAACCAGAACATTTTGACGGATCTGTATTTTCAAATGCTAATACTTGTGAAAAGGTCAGTCTACCGTTCCCTCATTTTCATTGTAGTCCACACTGAAGTCTTAATTGTTTTTGTTTGTCGTTTACTGTGTTGGTTCTGCAGCTGGACAGCTTTGCTGTTGCTCACACTTCGGAGCTTCAGCACTTTGTTTTAAACAAAAAGGATCCAAACCAGAAGAACAAAGCAAGTTTCAGTTCCTATTAATCTCCACTTCAATTCTATAGGAATACAAAGACAAGTCTATATGTGGACCAGGTACTCTTAAAAACACAGTTCTTCAAGGGTTCTTTAGTAAAGGAAATGGTTCTATTTAAAACCATAAGTTCTAATTTCATGCTTAAATGGTTCTTTGCATGGTGACATGGTTCTTCACATTGATGGAGAAAGTGTTGTATACAGTTCCATATACACAGGATGGTTCTTTAAGGGTTCTTCAGTAATGAAAATGGTTCTGTACAGAACCCTCAAAGAACTCTCGAAGAACACTCAATGAACTCTGCATGATTAAAGCGCTCTTAGAACGGTGAAACGGTTCTTTAGATGAAGAATGTGTGGTATATGGTTCTATATAGTACTTTGTTGTGCTATTATTACGATGTCAGGCTTGTAACGATAAAAGAACCCTTTTTGGTACTATACAGAACCATTTTCAAAAATGTTTTATATAAAACCATATAAAACACATTGCCTATCCACCATGCAAAGAACCATTTAAGCATGCCAATGATTCTACATAGAACTCATGGTTCTAAATAAAACCATTCCCTTTACTAAAGAACCCTTGAAGAACCATGTTTTTAATAGTGTTCTTGAATCACCACTTCACTGATGTAACTTTAGCTTTTTACCCTGCTGGGAGTCGCGAGCTGCTCCGGCGAGTTGGGCGGCACGACGTTGCCTCGCTCCGCATCCGACTCGCTGGAGTGCAGCAGCAGGACCGGGGCGCTCCCCCTCCGCCACGAGCGCAGCGAACCCGAGCCCGCGTGCGTGGCTCCGTCCGGCCGCAGCAGCCTCACGCGCCGCTCCGCCGACGACACGAGTGACGACGTGACTGGCGGCGCGAGCTCGGGCGCGGACGAAAAGCAGTTGGCTGTCCTCGCGCGACCGCACGAGAAGCGGCGCGTGGACACTGGCGAGTGCGAGCGCGAGCCCGAGAGCGCGCTCTCGGAGTCGCAGCGCGCGCCTTTCCTCCTCTTCGCGAGACGCAGGAGCTTGTAGCCCAACAGCAGGCAGTGGAGCAGCAACAGCACGAGCAGCGCGCACGGTGCCAGCGCGAGCACCAGCAGCGTCAGCCCCGAGACAGGCAGGCGCTCGCGCAGCTGCTCTGTGGACGGAGCGGCCGTTATTAACGGCTCAGACATCTCATCCCAGAAAAGAGGGCGAAACTACGGCTTAACGGGCCGCACAGGTTAAACGCAGCCGTTACCGGCTGGAGTGAAAAAGTCGCTGTAAAGGGAACAGAAGTCACCCGTATGTGACGGTTTATCACTAAAACTACGACCTGACGACTCGGTCGGCTCGCTTACACGCAGCTAACGCCGTTAGTAAAACGACAGAGGCAAAAAAGTTAAAATAAAGACGAATTTGCGTCGAATTATCACTAAAAACACAACTCCGCGGTACAGTCGACTGGTTTAAATGCAGGTGTGTCGAATTCACACCGATTAAATTCCGACTAGTCGGTCAAACTGGAGCGATTCGGCTCGGCTAATCGCTGTGCTAAGCTTAATTAGCAGCGGGTCGCTACAGCAGAAACACCCGGGCTGTCCTCTCTTAAAACGGGGTCTATGGAAAAACTACTCGTCGAAGACTTACCTCGTACGAGCCCAGATGTGTTGCTCCGTTCATTATCTGAGACCTTTTCTCTTTAAATCCGTAAACCGAGCTGGTTCTAAGTAAAGTTAGCTACCGCTAACAGCTACCGCCGCGGTGCCAGTTGACGTCACACGAGTGAAGCCGCGCGCCTGGTCTAAAATCAGCGGTTTTTCAACATTATAACTCTACAACAAGACTGTTATTCTATAGACACGTTACCCAAGGTTTATTTCTTCCCTTCTCGGCCATTAAGGTTGGTCGCTAGCCCTGTGTAATTATGAGAAACCCTCAGAAACCCTCTGTGTTTTAAAGCGCTCAATTTACGCCTAATCTGACTAAAACTACATTTCCCAGCAGCCCATACTCGGGATCGTGTCATAGCGTCGTTTGTAGTGTTAAAATAAGAACATTGTGAATTTATTATCTAATATTTCTTACAGAAAACCTATTCTGGCTTTATTTTATGTGCACATGTTATGTTTGGTTTCTTTTGACAGAAGCATGGAAACTCAGATATATGATGAACGTGGTGCTTGTTCTAGTTCTAGTCTGAGTTCCACGTACATAAATGTAACTACTAAAAAACATTCATGTTCTTCTAAATGAAGCTAGAGTCAAGTCAAGTCAAGAGGCTTTTATTGTCATTCCATCTATGTACAAGTACACAGTGGAGTGAAATTACGTTCCTCCAGGAACAATACAATAAATTCAATAAATTAAGCAGACATTAGACACAGTAAACAGACCGGACAGTGCAGCACCAACGCAGCACTCATTTCTGGACATGAGGTAGTGGAATAAGGTGCAGACATATTTGACGTGATGTGATCTGTAAGTTACGTCAGATAACATACATATATACCGCAGTTACTGAGGTAGTAACACAGTGTAAACACAGTATTGGCAGCAATGTTCCAGATAGATAGGGGGGGATTTAGTTCAGTCCTTGTGAGTTTAAAAACCTGATCGCTTGAGGAACAAAGCTGTAGCAGAGTCTGGCAGTGATGGCACGGATGCTCCGGTACCTTCTACCATACGGCAGCAGTGAAAAAAGTCTGTGTGAGGGATGGATGGGGTCGTTCACGATGCTGGTGGCTTTACGGATGCAGCGTGTGGTGTAGATGTCCATGATGGAGGGGAGAGAGACCCCGATGATCCTCTCAGCTGTCCTCACTATGCGCTGTAGGGTCTTGCAGTCGGAGACGGTGCAATTCCCAAACCAGGCGATGATGCAGCTGCTCAGAATGCTCTCCACAGTCCCCCTGTAGAACATGGTGAGGATGGGAGGGGGGAGATGAGTCTTCTTCAGTCTCTGTAGGAAGTAGAGGCGCTGCTGGGCTCTCTTGGCTATGGAGTTGGTGTTGAGGGACCAGGTGAGGTTCTCTCTGATGTGGACGCCGAGGAACTTGGTGCTATACTTGGTGGTATAGATTGAACTCTATACCAATACAAAAGCCAAAAAAACTGTCAATGGATGTATGAAATGTAATATTTTCATATAAAGGTCAAGGCCTCGCCTCTTTCTTTTCTTTTTTTTTCTTTTATGTGCAGGTATGTATGCATTTTATGCATTTCTCTTTTTCTAGCTGTATGGTTTAATGATGACCCTGGCATATGTGTTTTGTTTTACTGTATGTTTGTGTTCACCACAGTTTAACTGTAGTGTTTTGCATCTTTTGTTACACCTGCAAATTATAGCAAAGGACATTCTGAATTTCACACGGTGTCAAAATCAAACCAAATGTCTGATGTTTGCTCTGTGTTTTGCGTCTTCCAAGTAAGTAATTGAGCTGCGATTTGTTTCTATCCATTTTAGCATGTGTAAAATGTGATTTTAAAGAAATATAACATGCAAATGAAAAACTGAAGCAGTTTTTGTAGATACTGCAAAAGTGCAACCAGGAGCCTAAACGTTCACCACTTTGTGTTAATCATTATTATCACAGCGGCCCCTTTTACTCCATTGTAGACAGTGAGTCCAAGGCCTGTGTTTCACATACCAACACACCTGATCCAGCTCATTATCAAGACACTTTTATATTCATAGCTTATAATTAATAGTGCTAATTTAAATATTAATGTACTGCTTATTTAAAATAAGTAGGAATTAAACAATTTGTGATATAGACTCATTATTAAAATTAGACTTTGTTAAAGGGGAAATTAACTTTTCACATTTTCTTCATAATTCAGTGGTTGAGGTGTAAGCAGTCATTCAGAGTGGTTTGGTGTGAAATGGTTGATTGTAGAGACTCAGTTGTCTTTACAGTGGTAGTGACAGGAACCAGGGGTCACCATGACAACAACACATATATAGACATTTTATTTACTATCTAAAACAACCAGTTAACCTACACGAGTCTTCTGAGTTTATATGGAATTTGATGATGGGAAAATAGTAACTCTGAAAAATAAGTTTTCTTTGAGGACTAATTTGCCTTAGAACATCCTGCGTGTATCTCTCTGCCATGAATGGATTTAAAAAATACATTTTAGGCCAAAATCTCAAAACAGTGTCTCAGACATCAGGCTGTGTATTCATAACCATATTCATAACCTTATGTAGTAACTTTCTGTGAGGGAGCTTTTAGAGGTGGACGTCTGGTTCCTATCACCACCACTGTGAACAATTCTGACTTGGTAAGTTTCTCTAGAACAGAGCGTTTCACACCAAACCACTCTGAATGACTCTGTTTACATCATAACTATTGCAGAATTTTTACAAATTGTTTGAGTTTACCTTTAAAATGACAATAAATCCATAACATTTAAAACCTGGCAGTTTTACAACATTGTCCCCAAATCAACTCCAAAGAAAAAAAAAATCACACTTTGTACAGTAAAATGGTGTTAAAGTGTTAAAAAAGGAAATGCATCAACAAAATCAGTGTTTTCAGTGGGTTTCTAAGGGTTATCCTTCCCACTGCCACAAGATGGCGGCAAAGACCACCCGCTCAGAAGCTGGACTTGAAAGTAAGAAGTAAAAGGTATATTTTTACACTTTGAAACATAATCCATTATTAATTTAAATTATATTTGAATAAAGTATGAACTTGTCTTCAAAAACAACAAAAAGTGGGTAGCGCTGTCGCCTCACAGCAAGAATGGCCTGGGTTCAATTCCCGGCTGGGCAACCGGGGTCATTTCTGTGTGGAGTTTGCGTGTTCTCCCCGTGTCTGCGTGGGTTTCCTCCCACGGTCCAAAAACATGCAGTCAGGCTGATTGGACTTGCTGAATTGCCCCTAGGTGTGAGTGTGTGTGTGTTTGTGATTGTGTATGTCTGTCTGTCTGCCCTGTGATGGACTGGCGACCTGTCCAGGGTGTATCCTGCCTTCTGCCCAATGACAGCTGGGATAGGCTCCAGCACCCCACCGCGACCCAGAAGGACAAGCTGTTTAGATGATGTATGTATGTATGTATGTATAACATTCCATATAAAACCCAGAAGACTCGTGTAGGTTCACTGGTGGCTTTGGACAGTAAATAAAATGTCTATATTTGTGTTGTAGACATGGTGACCCCTGGTTCCTATCACCACCACTGTAAAGACATCTGAACCATTTCACAAAAGTTTTGAAAAATCAGTGGATTTCTCCCTTAAGTATGTTCCACCCTGAACATGGGGCCTTAAATACATTGGCATGCTTTTGGCACACATCTGTTTTAGGGGACATTTTGATATACTGTTTTAATTTGTAATGTATACTGGGCTGAATCTCATTTGAAAAATAAAAAGTAAAAATTACAGCAGTGTGACTTCCTGTCTGACTCGCCTGCTGACAAAACAGCAAGCATTTCATGCTGGTCTAAGCTGGTCTGGTCCTGGTTTAGCTGGTCACCCCCGCATAGTCATGCTGGTTAACCAGTATACCAGCATCCCAAACACAACATAGGCTGGTTTTGCTGGTGACTAGCCATGCTATTTTATGCTAGTTTTTCTAGCAGGGTTAAGTCTCATGTTCATACCAAACTTTTCTTTAGACAATGTAGATTCTTCTGTAGCCAGCAGGGGGCTTCAAACACCAGGTTAGCGCAGTGAACCGTCTTTTGTGCTCTTGAGGGGGTTTTGTGTTTATCTTTGAAGCCCTGTAAGGACAGATTCCATTATTGGTACACTAGCCGTGAATATGACCTAGTTACCTTTTTTGCCACAGTGAAGCTAAAAAGAGTGACACAGGAAATAGAGATATGAGGATGAAGGAGCCCTGCTGAAAAAAGGCCGTACAAACCATTAGGATTAAAGCCTGATCGAATTATCTTAGTGGTTACTATTAGAGACACCCAGTTTTCTGTAAGACACATTCAGATCCCGCTGGGAAACCATCAAATGCATCTAGAATCAGCCCAAGAACACCTAGTAAACCATTAGAGTCATTTAGAGAAAACACAAAATACCGTTACTAACTGTTAGATACCACCAGGAGCCAACATAAACTTTAAGACGTTGACTGAATGGCAACATATGTTGCCAAAACCTGTATGTATCATTCAGCATTAATGGTGCCTTCACAGATGTGCCAGTCAGCCATGTCATGTGCACCAATGC